GGTAGATGCTGGCACACAGTAGGTGCCCAGTGTCAGCTGCCACCCACCCCCAGCCAGTCTGTACTGTGGTTTCTGCGGGTGTCTGGGGATGGCACCAGGATGTGGTTATCTCAGAAAGTGTTGTGGGGGAGGCATGCACTTGCGCACTTGCAAAGGTTTTCAAACCTAAAGGTCCTGCAAGAAACTCACAACCCAGTAGACTGAGGCGCCCCATAAGGCCCCTCCCCTCCTTCTTATTACCTGCTGGTAGAGATAAAGGGAACCACCACCCTGCTGGTCATGTTTTGAGGACACTGAGCAAGGAGGTGAAGTGCAGAAAAGGGGCTCAGCTCAGGTCCCAGATTCTACACACAGAATTCCTGGAAAGCCATTTCTCTGACAAGCTCAGGAGGGAGCCCCTGCCATGGTCAGGTTCCAGCATAGTAGGATATTGGTGCTTCCCAACCATCCCATGGTCTGCAAGGCCTGGTCAGCAGGCAGCATGGTGGCCCAGTGCCTAGGCCCAGAGCCATTCTTTATATGGAGCCAGAGTTGCTACACTGGGATGTATGTGACCCTCCTCTTCCTCATCTATGAAACAGGGATCCAGTAATTTATTCAGTCACCAGATCTGGTGGGCACCAATTATGCACTAGACTTGGTTAGTTAAGCACTCGGCACACGGTGTTGTGCAGGCAGTATTGGGGAGGGTACTGTTAAGCAGAACTGTGAAGCGGGGGCTGTTCTCAATGAACACTGCTCCCTGCAGTGGATGCTGGGACTGACTGTAGGCTGGGTAGGAAGGGGTGCTCAAGGAGAAAGATGCATAGTCTTAGCTCAGCTGAGGGCCTGGAGCAACCCCAGCTGGCCCCTGCTGCCCATCAGAAGTTCCAGCTCTGGCCACTGGCTGCCCTGGCCTTCAAATGCCTTGTCAGCATCCAAGCCCTAGCCAAAGCTGCAACCTCTGGGTTGCCAATAGAAACCCACTGATGTGGCCTGCAGTGAGATAGAGCTAAGGGTCTCTCGGGTTGTGACTAAAGCCATTAAGAAGGGCACTTGCTGCAGAGCAGACCTGGGGTGTGTGCAGCTCCCTATGCAAGGGCTGGGCCGTGGTGGACCCATTTACTACCTTCTTTGAGTATAACGAGATTTGCCCAGAGTATTTGGGGACATGGGGAAGGAGGTTCTGGATAGGGGGCTATGGCTGCTGAAACAGAAGCCCTAGACACAGGTGCCCACTCTGCTGAGCTCGTTTCAAGTTTAGCTTTTGAATAAGGATACTTCTGGCAGGTTGCAGGTTCTGTAAGTGAATGGAGGAGTGGGAGGGGCCGGGTCTGAACCCAGGAGCATGAGACTGTACATATCACCATTGTCAGAGCCCCTGTCATCATGGGGCAGGGGGTGCAGCACAGACCCACTGGACTTTACCACTGTTCTAAGGAAGTAGGAATGCCTCTTCCCTTCCCTGTCCCTCCCTCTCTCCCAGCACCAGGGACAGAACCCAGACCCTCACACATACTAGACAAGCACTCTACCGCTGACCTATACACTTAGCACCCCCTCCTTTTCCTGTCTGAATTTCATTTTTAAATGAAAATTTCTCAGTTAAACAAACAAACAAACAAACATTTTGAAGTTGGGTGGTGGTGCTGCATGCCTTTAATCCCAGCACTCTAGAGGCAGAGACAGGGTGGTTTCTGAGTTCGAGGCCAGCCTGGTCTATAGGGTGAGTTCCAAGACAAGCAGAGTTATATAGCGAAAACCTGTCTTGAAAAACATTTGTATATATATTGGGTTGGGGAGATAGCTCAGTTAGTAAAATGTCTGCTAAGTACGAATAAAGAGTCTAATCTCCAGCACCTACATCCTAAGCCAGCACTGGGGAGGCAAAGGTGGGCAGTTCATAGGACTGACTTGCTAGACAGCCTAGCCTAATCCTCAAGTCCCAAGCCAGCAAGAGACCTTGTCTCAAAAAAAAAAAAAAGGTTAGATAGCTCCCAAAGAAAGAAACTCTGACCTCCATACCTATGCACACATATAGTCCCGTCACACACAATCATGTACACACACACACAATAGAATTTAAGGGCTGGAGAAATGGCTCAGAGTCTAAGAGCTACTCTTCTAGAGGACCTGGGTTCAATTTGCAGCACCCACATGATGGCTCACAACTGCCCATAACTCCAGTT